TAATATAGAATATTAATTATAGAAAATCTTTGCCATCGTCTTCTACGAAAATCAATATTTTTGAAAACATTAGAACAGGACCATAACCTCCTCCCTCCGGCTGGACTCCCCCTCTCCCCAATTAGCTTTACGTAATTTACTGACCGGCCATTTTTAAAGACATATTTTTTTTTAAATTTATTAATTTTGAAACAGTTTTTAATGTACAGTGTACATTATCTACCTCACGATTTTTAAATCTTTCCAATAGCTTTTGAACTATTCCAGTTATTGATTATTTTTTATTTGAGTAGATAATCCAATCGCTAATTTCCTTGCAGCCGGTTATTTATTTGTCGTAATATTTTTCCTTGTCAGGTACGGTAAAATACGTTGAGAATTTATTTATGACAGTAATTTTGAATCAATTTATAGCACGTGTGCAGAACCTTCACTTCCTTTTGTAGTGTGGATAATTATAAACCGCTTGGTTCATTTTACATGCAAAAGCAATATTAAGCATTCCTGAACTCAGTGGTTTCATATGTAATATTTACTGACATGCCAAATATGAAAATAAATTGAATTGAAATTATCATCAATTTATTATCAATTTGCCGCCCTCTCATTTTCCATGTCAAGGATTTTCAAAGGTAATAAATTGCTGAAGATTGCTTAACAATAAGTAGTTCTTTTAGATAAAGGAATTTTGGGTATTTTAGAAAAGAATTGAGAAAATTTTAAACTATATATCTTACAGAACTAAAACAATGTAGGTAATTGCCCAATCGGGGAAAACGTATACGATATAAAAAATATATCAGAAAAACATTAGTGCATCGCCCGTATATAGAACCCGGGCTGTCGTATCGTAACCCGCATATGGAGCGAGCATTACTTCACTGAACCATTCACAGCTTTGCTAAACGCAGCTACGTTTCAGAATTTGCAACTATAAAGTGTACTCAATAAATATTTTTATTTTTATTATTTTTGCAATTGCTTACCGCTGATCGGTTTATATTCTCAATATTTATAATTTCATCGACGGGGCACGGCTCATTGCACATGACGTTGTATTTAAATTCCGGGTAGTCGTCTAGGGTGGTGCTGGGTGAATCCTGGGGAGTCGCGGCCGTGTGCGTAATTATTGGGGGTGAATTCTGTGTATTATAAAATAAAGTATTCCGTGTATAATACTTTTAACAATTAAATAAAATTGTAGTTGATGATATAGATAAAGTCTTAGGTCTACGATTAATTGAGTATAATAAATGTAAAAATTTTAATTAAAAATATTCTAGATCTGTTCAAAAAGTATCGCGAATTTTCGATTTTAGATTTTTTTTGTGGCATTAAGTTGGTACTCATGTCTCTCATTTATACCGACAAGTTCGGCCATGTTGAATGTTCAGTTAATTTTTGACTCGTCTTCGATTTTTGCCCACCGTATTTCCCAGATCTGGCCCCCTGTGTCTTTTTCCTTGTTCCCGAAACTAAATAGGCTCATGAAAGGACGACGCTTTGCTACAATTGAGGAGATAAAGACGGCATCGGAAAGAGTGATTTTTTGAAGTGTTTCAAGGATTGGAAAAAACGTTGGCACAAGTGTATAATATCTAATGTGGATTGCTTTGAAAGAGACAAAATAGATATTTATGAATAGAGAATAAAATCTGTATTGTTTAATATTGGACTTGCGGATTGATGTTTTTCGTCTTAAAATCCCACATTAGGCTCAATAATGTGTAAACCCACCTATCTCGGGAGTAAATTTTTTATCATTTATCTGCCTGGTGCTTTTTCGAATATATTTGTACAGCGACACTAATTTTCTACATTGCACTATTAACAAAGTTACAGTTGCTATACATATTCGGTATTATTTACATGAGTGAATTTGGTGAAAGCTGTTTAAAAGCTCTATATGATGGATGAGCTGGACCTACGTATGTTGATGGAGATGCGTGTAAATTTTTGTTGTAATTCCTTTTAGGAAAAAACTTTATACAGCAGTAGGTAAGAAAATGTGCTGATGCAAATGAATTTGTTTGTGATCAATCGATTATGTCTTTCGATTAATCAAGTATTTAATTAACGAATTAATATTTTATGCAGTTTTTTCCAGGGTGGCGGTCAAGTAATTAAAATTCTATAACGTTTCGATTTATTCAACCATCTTCAGATTTTTGAAGTGTTACTGCTTGTACACAGATATTAACTTAATTTTAAACATTCTTTCATACTGAGTATGCAGTAGTTCAACTGTGTACAAGCAGTAACACTTTAAAAGTGTGAAGATGGTTGAATAAATCGAAACGTTACAAGAAACGTAAAGTTGTCTTAATTATTTGACCGCTACCCTAGAAAATAACTACATAATTTAAAAGTAACGGTCAGGAATCCAACATAAATTATTACTATTGAAAACTGCAAAGAATTGATTATTATTAATCGATTAATCGGATATAACGTTCCCAGTTCTAATAGGGACATAATTTTACTAACGTGTCTGGTGATGTTGCCTCCGTTACATTGTGAATGATCTCTTCCATTGTTCAGTGGCACGGCTTCCGAATCGGAACCGCTTCTGTTCTTTTTCCTTCTCAAGCTCGGTCGCGAGCGAAGCTTCCATGAATAACCGCGTTGTATCTTCGGTTTTTCCTGTGGCTGATTTTGTGAGTTTGTAGCTTTATTTGCACTCGAAACGGGAATGCTTACCTGGCGAATATAAAATTGAAAAATTGCATCGAATTGTTTAGTTTATTGTATTCCGATGTACTCCGCATTTCTGCATACTTTACTTAAATTCCAAACGAAATACTCGCTTTGCAGAAACGAAACGTTGCAAATTGGATATTTGTAAAGCGTGTGCTTTGGAAATAATATTAAATCAAACTGGTTTACGATAAACTAACGAAATGTTAAAGAAACAAGCTTTTAACACTGTATTTCAGTTGAAAGTAAAACAGAACTATTTAGTGCATTTTACAAGTACAAAATTTAAACTAAAATTGCACAAAATTAGCTCATATTTTTGCGTAAAAAATAAATTTGACAATCTTTATACTTAATAGCAATTCGAAAGTAATAAAAATGTTGGTATTCTACAATCATAAAAAAAGATTGCGGAACGATCGGTCGTACGGTTCATACTTAAATGACGCCTAAATATGCGAAAGATTCAGAAACATCGGTAACAGTTCATTGTNCGTTGAGAATTTATTTATGACAGTAATTTTGAATCAATTTATAGCACGTGTGCAGAACCTTCACTTCCTTTTGTAGTGTGGATAATTATAAACCGCTTGGTTCATTTTACATGCAAAAGCAATATTAAGCATTCCTGAACTCAGTGGTTTCATATGTAATATTTACTGACATGCCAAATATGAAAATAAATTGAATTGAAATTATCATCAATTTATTATCAATTTGCCGCCCTCTCATTTTCCATGTCAAGGATTTTCAAAGGTAATAAATTGCTGAAGATTGCTTAACAATAAGTAGTTCTTTTAGATAAAGGAATTTTGGGTATTTTAGAAAAGAATTGAGAAAATTTTAAACTATATATCTTACAGAACTAAAACAATGTAGGTAATTGCCCAATCGGGGAAAACGTATACGATATAAAAAATATATCAGAAAAACATTAGTGCATCGCCCGTATATAGAACCCGGGCTGTCGTATCGTAACCCGCATATGGAGCGAGCATTACTTCACTGAACCATTCACAGCTTTGCTAAACGCAGCTACGTTTCAGAATTTGCAACTATAAAGTGTACTCCGTAATATGTTTTCCCCGGTTGTTTATAGTCAGTCGTATACGAAAAACGAAAACAAAAACTAATCAGCAGCACAGAATAATTTTAACACAATATCTTTCCTCATCAGTTGGTATATGATGATTTTTATCAATCATGGGCATTAAACATAACGATTTTATTGGATAAGTTTGCAAGGGTTAAAAAGGAAGCTTAATTTTCTTAATGTTTGTTTAACTTTTTGTTAGAAATTCATGCTGTTTTCAAAGCTGAAACATAAGACAAATTAAGCAAAGGAATTTAAAAGTAACACATAAATAGTTATAAATAATTTTCAAAACGAAAAAGGAAGAATTTTCACATTTATTATCAGAAAAATAAAGTCATATTGGTATCTAAATAATAATAAAGTTTTCAATATATTCAGCGTCTCATTCTAGACATGTAGAAAGCTCATACAAACGACTGCAATCATAGCGGCGTTGTTTAACTCTGTATTTTTATCGTACAATCTCGTTATAGTAAAACGTCTTTACAAATCGGTTCATTTGAAGTAGGCGAAATTGGTAATAAAAAAAAAAGAGCTAAGTAAGCACCTAAAAAATAACCCCAAATCCATTATTTGTATTATATTGATAGTCCTTTAAGTCTAGGATAACAAAAATTATGATTGGCTTTGTGGACGGCTGGCTCCGTATTATTTATTTTTTATATATTAATGTGAAAATTAATTTTCATTCTTTTACCTACTATAAACTACCTCAGGTTAATGAGAAAAAAATTGCTGCTGTTGTCACACCCTCGCCGGGAATCGAACCCGGGAGCTTTGGCATTACGCACCAATGCATGCATGCAACAGCAACAAATTTTCCCTCATTAACCTAAGGTAGTTTATAGTGGGTAAAAACATGAATATTAATTTTCGCATTAATATTTGATATTAACCACTATTAAATGTCAAAG